AATCGATAAACATCCTCAATACATTCGTGAAATCAATCTATAAATGAAGAATAGAAAGATATCAAGATTATCGATAATACGTAGCCTTGCGAGAATACATATCAATATATTCATCATCTCAAAAAAGAGATATTCTAATTCTAGAATTGATCGTGTTTTTATATAATTTTTTCGAATATGAATCTAAAAGAATCCATTTTGAGAATTTATGAGAAATTAATAATGGATTGAAATATAATTATTCATATTCATCATCGATTATATCTTCCAATAAGAGAATCCGATATTAAATCTCTATATTGGATGAAGATTTGCTATATTTCTGAATAATTTGAATCTTGAGATGAATCAAAATTAAAGCCAGGGGAAAAAAGATAGAGGAGAGAGAATGAAATCTCAAGAATGAATAATTTGCATTTAAAATGGTGGGGTCTGTGACAATTTTTGAATTTGTTGAGCTCATTGCCTGTCTCCATCAAGTCATTGTACTCGCAGCGTTTTCCGTGTAACATGACGCAGATTGAGGTTGCCTGTTCGGCAAGCTCCTGCAGCCGGCGGGATGCTTCCATTGACACTGTGAGCCTTCTTGGGCTTTCGTACCCACCCGCCCATCAATGCGTCAGGCCTTTTCGTGCAAGCATCGTTTCTTTTGCATGATATTCTAGATCCGAAAACAGCAAATCAACGGCTGTGACCATGCCACAATTGCGGAACGTTACATTTGAGCAGTCGCCTGGGTAGAAGCCACACAGAACTCCGGGATGTCGAAGATATTGTCCTGGCCTTGTAGCAAGGAATTGAAACGAGGGCCTATAGTTGACAATCTGAGGTGTTTTCAATTTTCTGTACATACCAAAGCTGAATTTTCACAAGGATACTGCCCTAAACCCTCAACCCTAAGCCGTTCTTTCGGTTCGCCGAAATTTGCGTAGCCAGTTGATTAGGTGATCAGCTCACCCATGCTTGCCCACAAGCCCCGTCCTTAAACCGCCAGCGTCTTAATCCTAAACTAGGTTTGGGCTCATGTGGGCTAGGGGTTTCGAGTTTAGGGTTCATACCATACACAGAGAGCCAGCAGGACTCGCGCAACAACAATATGCCATAACACTACTCGCAGCAGCATGAAAAGTTGACAAACATGCTCGAGCTATTTCTCGCTCTCAGATGACAACAACTACTGCCAGTGGCATGTAAGGGATGGGTAGTACTCTGCTGAGTCATGTTGACAGTAACATCAAAATCGGTTCTTCTATCCACCTCGCCACCCTCTACCCACGAGGCTCGGGCCCAGAATATGCGCCATGGTAATATGGTTGTCGCTCTCAGCACGGGTCGGGCCGCCTGCTGCGTCACCTTCTTTTGAAGGGTTTTGGTGTTTTGGGTCGTGGTGGTGTACAAGGCTTGCAACTGTTGCTGGAGAGATTAGAACCCCGAAGCCACAGAGAAAACATCTGAACTCGGTTTCAGCCAGTTCGAAGCAACTGGCATACCCCATAGCACTCACACTACCTAGAATCTAGATCCGAACATGTCGAACATTATCGCTATCCACGTTACCAAGCCTGAAGCGTTCTTTCTTAGCGTAAGTGTTTCACAAGTGTTCCAGGTGCCCTGCATGAAGTTCTACCAAAGTGCCGTAGGTGTTCCAAGTGACCCTACGCAACCTACGATTGTACTGCACAGGTGACTGTGGAGGAGGCATTGTTGGACCGCGGAATGCGTTTTGGATGCTGGCGAGAGCACTGTGTGGCACATGCAATCGCGACGCTGCAAAAACGATTGAACATGCAACACAGACAAGCACGCGACTGCGAGTTTGGTCCAAACTGGGCGCCGTGTTGAAACGAGAGCCGTGGAACCGGCTTCATGTGGTGCTGCACATCATCTGATCTAATCGAATCTAACCTAACCCGCTCTCAACACAAAAGCCCGCATGTGGGTGTGCACTCTCCCCCTGGGCAGTTCTCTATGGAGCCTTTAGGGTACTCAGAAAGGAGCCGAGATTGAGAGAATCTGACATGTGCGATTCATGCCATGTTGTTGCAAGCGAATGTTGGCTTCTCCCGCGCCTATGAAGCTCATGCCTGCTTCTGCATCTGGGATCAGCACCCGGCACCTGCCACAACTTCATGAGGTTCCTTGGGGGCATTCCACTTTGCTGCTTTGAGGTGGCAAGATCTTCTGGTTTCATGACTCCCTTGCAGTGCCTGTACAGGTGAAAGGGCTTGAACCCTTGCCTTAATTCACGTATGGGAGGTGCATGACGTTGCGCAAGATTCGTATCTGTGCATGAGGCGAGTCCGAATGTGTGGCCAACGGACATGAACAAGTGTTGACAACAGGTGTCCAGTGTCCAGAACCGCAAGCGCCAAGAGTCACCCCAACCTCGAAGCCCAAAGAACATGTTTGCATATCGCCAGTGCTGCAATGGTTAGAGATATTACTACGGCATGGCGTAACGGCATGGCTACGTTCCGCAACAACTACCGCTGAAACAGCAAATCTTGGCAAGAGCCACTTGGGATTGATTCGGAGTGGGGGGATCTGCTCAAAGACTCGGCCCTTGAATTCCCTGCCCCGGACCTGCCCTTAGTAGGAACTGTAAGTTATACTGGCGAGGACCCTTACCGGGCAAAGAACTTGCATAAAGAGGGCATCAGCACGAAGCTACTTTAGAGCAGTTGTACAGCCATGCAACGTGCTTGCTGGATGCCGAGGTCGCACTGATCCTTCTTACAGATTGTTATTTGGCGCCTTCGTTGCAACTCGGCTTGTGCTTATGACCAGGCGATACCCCACCCCTGTATACCGAGCACAGTTTAGGGTTTAGGGTTCAGGGTGAATCCTGCGCTATACTTCTTGAGTCCAAGATCCAGCGGAGCCTTGCGAGGCAGCACAGCCGGCTGTGGAGCACATCGTCCTCCAAACAGGGGTTTGGGGCTTAGGATTTAGGGTTGAGGGTTTAGGGTTTAGGGTTTGGGGTTTAGGGTTTAGGGTTTGGGGTTTGGGGTTTAGGGTAAGGCTTGTTGTGCCATGACATGGGCTCTAGGGTTCAAAGGTTTTGAGGTTGGGAAGTTCCCCCTTGTAGTTACTCTCAGTCCTTAATAGGGATTATAATGGGCGGTACTATACTCCTTATTGAAGGACTCTTAGCTTCAAGGGGGGGAACATCCCAAGTTGAAGGTTTCTGGGATTCAGGGTCGACGTTTCCTTGTCCCGATGCTGCCCCGCCTCGCGACCCCATCCCCAGAAGTGGTTCGGGAAGCCGCCAGCAAGGAGAAAATCGCTGAGGGACATCGCGCAAACACCTGGGTTTAGCTTGGGCGGGGGGTTGTCTCAGTAAGCAGCAGGCTGTGCTCAGGAATGCGGAAACGATGGAAGTGCTGGAAAAGAGCAATTTGCAGCCTGAAATTTGAACGAAGAAGTTGGTACGCAAGAACGCAACTGTTGATTTATTGTTACTTGCAAGCCACTGTGCAGGTCAAGTATGAGTGGTCTTGCACTGAAAGGGCTATTTCGCAGAGAAGTGGAATGATGTTGTTGAGAAGCGATGAATGGAAGGCAACCAAAGTTGTGAAATAACGGTGGCTTCAACTTGCCATCCCGCAAGAAGCTGATAACGATACCTTTTGTCCCAGACGTGCCATCCGTCAGGCCTCGATGCATGTAAAGGCGGAATCGCCTATGTTACAAAAACGATGACTCCTTCCGTCCAGAAACAACATCATTCAATGTTGGTCAAGCCGTGATGCCTGCAAACCTGGACAACTGCAAATGACAATGCTCGGGCTTGTGTCCATGTTAGAGGTATAGTAATGACGATAATGGGTGTATTGTGTGTGTGTGTGTGTGTGTGTGGGTGGGTGTGGGTGGGTGTGTGAGTGTGTGTGTGTGTGTGTGTGTGTGTGTGTGTGTTTGCGCTGTCTGTTGGCCTTTTGGCATCTTGTCGGAACCCCCTGCCTCCAAAGAAGGTCGGGTAGTCGTACTTACCTGAGGATGAAGAAGATCATTGAAAGGAAACAATAAAGAGGTCGATAAACAGTAGGGGGTGGTAGTGGTGAGTGCAGTGGGAGGGAGAGGGAGCATGAGAGAACAGGAGCAAGAGAAAGACAGTGGGCGAGACAACGACAGGGGCACATGTGGGACAAGCTTGAGTTCAAAACCACTTATTTAACACTGCGAGATGCTGTGAACTGGTGTTGCATTCCACACAGTATTGCTCGGCTGCTGAGGGCAAAGGGGAACAAGGAGCAAGATGAGCTCCTTTGGTGTGCGCGGCAGAAACACCGGAATCGGCACACCACCCAACTCAGGGAACAACCGTGCCAATTACATCTTCAAGGAAACATGGGCTAGCCAAAAAACCCGGTCGTAAACGCAAATGCCCGAGCGCAAACCTTATCGTTAAATTTTATTCCTTATCGTTTTACGAGGTAAACGACACATGCAGGAGGGAAAGCTATGATACCACACAGTAGTACATCTTTAGTACTGGCCATGTCTCCGCAGTACTGGGCTCGGCCGGCTGGCTTTTCATTGCTTTGTAGTACAAGCTTAGTACTGGACTCGATGTTTCCTGAGACGGCTGGGTTTTTCATTGCAAGCTTAGTACTTTACCACTCCCATGTCATGGCAGTGGTAAGGTTTGCCTTGTCCCCGGCACCACTGATTCGGGCAGTGTAGCCACCCTCAGCAACATGCCCAACACAACGGACGAGCAAGTTCAGCAGCTGTTGTACTTGGAGAGGGAGGTCGGAAAGAGAGACGAGAAGACAGAGAGAGAGAGAGAGAGCGCGAGAGAGCGGAGAGAGGCTAAGAGACTTCGGTCGGGACCTCAAATTCGAAATCTATCCCAACGCCACAAGCCTACATGAAGAACACGACAGTTTAACAAGGTCTGGCAGGTGAGGCGCGGTTGATCCAACCCAGGTGAACGCACTCGCCGGGACGGCCGTGGCAGTAGAAGGGGACCAGCATTGGCGCCTGTGGTTCGAGTGGCTTTTTGTATGCAAAGTTCTTTTGCTATGCAGATGTTTAGGCGGTCTCAGTCATCAAACGCAGCATAGCATAGGGTTTGGGAGGTGCGGGGAGATTGGCAGCGGCTAAAACATCTGCATGGTGCACGCCAGACTAGATGCCACCGTTGAACAAGCTCAAAAGTGCCTGTTGATTCGCCAGTAGCATATCATTTTTTCGCGAGATCAACTTTCAAACTTGCAGGGATTCCATGCACTGTGTGACACTCTGTGTGTGTGTGTGTGTGTGTGTGTACGTGTGCGTGGGGAAGTGGCTGAATGCGAGACAAAATTAAGTTTAACCACTTTCGATGAGCAGGGGGTAGTGTGCATTCATCACTGGTTGCCCAAAGAGGACAGTGATGAGAAGTGGCGATCTCAAAAGGAAACGTCCTTCTGACGCACCTGCAAATCAGTGATGGTTATAGACACATTGTACAGCAAACTGTGCATTGGCACATCGTCCCTGTTGGTTTGGCATCGTGCATTCATTTACAAGTGGAACATTCTTCTGTGGAGCAACACCCGTTGGAGCAAACGATGTGCAGCATGTGGCAGTACAGTGTGTAGCAAGTGTTTGCAAGTGGCAGGCGGCATGTGGTGCATCGTACCATACGGAGCATCTGCACAAGCGTTTCAGGGCAGCATGACATGTGGCAGCAGAGAGACGTGGAAAGCACAATGCACCTTCAGCATCCACTTAGAAGCACCCCAGCATATCCGCATAGCACAAACTTAAAGTACAGAGACGTTCGAGAGAGCTCTCACGTGATCACTCAAACACACAGCACACCACGAAACCCACCTTCGACTCAGTCGCAGCCCCGACCGACAACATCCCCAACACACGGCCAGGTCAAAATCACCGCGCGCAGCGGAGACTTCTGAAGGTTACAAGATGGTTATAGGTGCCTTGTAAAGCAAGCTGTGCATTGGTACATCATCACGGTTGCTTTGGCACAAAGACAAGACTGATCCATCGCTAAAAAAAATATACATATATATATATATGTATATCGTGGGTACGAAGGGATGCCAAGCGGAACGATCATGCCCCAAACCTTAAACCCTCAGCCCTAAACCGCTTGGCCACATTGCCACAAGCAAGCGAGCTTCAGGCAGGAAGCGGGTACAGTGTCGACATCGTGTAGGCAAATCTGGACATTCGCGGTGTCGCGAAAGTGAGAGCAGCACCACAGTGCTCCTGCTTGCGGGCCGTCTTGCCATGAAGTTCTGGTTCTGAGGCGCATATGTCAACTGACCTTGCCTTTTCTGCTGCGCATTCTGCAAGAGGGAGAATTGGGGGGCCCCAAAACCAATAACCCTAAAACCAAAACCCTAAACCAAAAACCCTAAACCAAAAACCCTAAATCAAAAACCCTACACAAAAGCCCTAAACCAAAACCCTAAACCCTAAACCAAACAACAAAAACCTTAAACCCTAAACCCTCTTGAAAAGACCCTGTCCGATGTTGAGAAGCTTCCCACGATTGAACTTCTCCTCGTCGGCCTGCAGTCATCCAGGGTCTCTTCTCGGGTTGGAGAAAGCCAAGCATAAATTCTGTTATCCGACTGATACTTAGGGCCCATCTGCCCTAGCACTCGCAGCTGGTGCAAGACAATGCACAAGCTGGCTCCTGCCTGCTCAATCACCACCATCTTGGCAGTGACGTCTGATGGCAAGGCTGGTCGGAAGACAGCTCCGAAGTGATGTAGAAAGGCCTGTGGCAGGGACATGAGAGAATATCGGCTGTGATTTCGAAAGTGGGCTTTGGAACCCGAAGCCCTAAACCCTAAACCTATCAAGTTCTACTGAGCGCTTAATCATGCTGATGGTTTCCAGATCTAAATTTTGTATCCTGACCTATCATCTGAACCCAAGTGAAGCTCACGTTGCCTTCAGCTGTGCGCCTCTCTCCTGGGAGGCGTCCTCGCGGAAAGGCACCAGCCTCGGTTCCGCACTCGGGGAGTTTGAGGGGCTTGGGGGCATCTTGAAGTTTGTGGGGCTGAGGAGTCAGTCGATTCGTGCCTTCTAGTCTCGCACCTGACCTGCACTGCTCTGAACATGAGTCGACACGAGCACGGTCTTCCGTCTAGGAGGGAATTGAGGCCCAGGGTATTGCCAGGAAGCAGCACGAGCACGCAGCCCGGCTCGATGTAAACATCCTGGCAACGCACGCCAAGCGTTTCAAACTTGTAAGCAGCCTCACGCACAACTGCATGGGAAATTATGCCTGCCTTTGGCCTCCAGTTAGATTCTTACCCGCTTTACCCACTGGACCCTGTAAGTTGTTTTGACACGTTGCCTCAAGTCGTAAATGATGCCTGAGTAAGGGCTCTTCACGATAGACTTGTGATGGCACTACCCCGGTCGCCGGCCTCAAGGCGAAGGTACGCACGGGTGGCCAGCACTCGCTCCTGCAGCGGGCCTGGGGCAGCTATCTTAGGGTTTAGGGTTTGGGGTTTAGGGTTTAGGGGGGTTGTTTGGCACTTCAGGCGCCGGTCCGCTAGCCGACGGCTAAGAGGCCCCAACCCAAAAACCCAACACCACAGCACCTCAGCCGCCGGAGGCACTCGAGGCACCAATCAGGCCCCAGAAACAAGCACTGTAAGTAATGACAGCCACTGGCAATCTAAACAAGAGCAGCAACCGATTCACAACAGTACGTTCAAAAACAGCGAGACCCACAAAGCAAGAAACCATGATTAAAGCAGAGTAGTCAAATTCCGAAAGCGGCAGCCAGAAAGCTGATATCTTCGTCTCTTGTGATAAACAATATCGGAAGTTTATGCACGTGTAGGATGTATGGCAATGGCGCTCAGCATCGTGCCCTTTGTATTCAGCCATCTTCTGGGTGTCAGTTGTTAACGGCATGCTTGTTAAATCATGTTAACATTACACTCCCTCACCAAAGTGCGACGACATGCTGAGGTGGGCAAAAGTAGCGCAGTACGGCCAGTGCAAGCACCTTTTCTGTTCCGTGGCAGAAGGTGTGGGAAACTCGACGAAACATGATAAGCGTTGGAGATGCAGGGGCTTGCTTACGTGTTTGTGGAGCCCCCACGTATTTCTTGACCAGCCATTGCGGAGCAGCAGGTTCAATATCAATACCGTTCGTGGTCTCTGGTACGGGCGCACCGAAGGTTTTGACTCGACTTCCTGTTGCACTGGGAATCCGAAATTCATTCGATCCCGACGATGCACACCAGAGCGCAGGTGAGGGTTGTCGATTATGACAATGGCACTCGAAAAACAAAACCGTAGAATGGTCGGATTTCGTGAAACTTTAGAAAGAGCATCCAAAGATTCTATTGGACCAGATGCCAGAATCGTTGAAGGGGTCGAGGTCGTCGTTCTCTTCTTCGGCCTTCGCGCAGGCCTCGCAACACTTGAAACGGCCTTGAATGACTCTTTCAGGTTGCTGTTTCAAATCGGTGGCCGCGCACGCTTCTTAGTTTTCGCACATGACTCGCGATAATCGCGTTTCTATTTTCCAACTCCTGGATGTTGAATTCCGCTCGGGAAGTTTTTCGTGACACTAACCAAAAAACTTAGAAACTACGTTAGCTATGGATCTTGGGGGATGGCCGAAAATCAAGGGTGCCAGCAGGGGTCGCGCAGGCTTCTTCGCTTTCGCGCATGACTAGCGATAATCACATTTCTAACTCCCGGATGTTGAATTTCCGCTCGGAAAGTTTTTTTCGTGAACCTCATCGAAAAAACACAAACTACGTTAGCTACAGATCTTGTGGGATGGCGGGTCGCAGTTTTGTTCGCAGAAGATTGCGGGGCGGAGTCTTTTTTGGCTTCAAAAGAATGTCTTGACCTGGGCTAGGCGGCTACAGGTGAGTCGACAGCGTCTGGCTGTCCCGCAGGCGCGGCGTTGCGCTAAAGACTTGCCAGGCAAGGGCTGCCCCGGGCTCTTTTGAACTCGACGGCTTTGTCACCCTAAACCCTTAAACCCTAAGCCCTTAAGCCCTTAAACCCTTAAACCCCTAAACCCCTAAACCCTTAAACCCTTAAACCCATAAACCCTTAAACCCTTAAACCCTTAAACCCTTAAAACCTTAAACCCTTGAACCCTTGAACCCTTAAACCCTAACCCCAAACCCTTCAACCCTCAACCCTCAACCCTACACCCTACACCCTACACCCTACACCCTACACCCTAAACCCTAAACCCTAAACCCTAAACCCTAAACCCTAAACCCTAAACCCTAAACCCTAAACCCTAAACCTTAAACCCTAAACCCTCAACCCTAAACCCTAAACCCTAAACCCTACACTCGACCCATATTGCGTTCATATGGCCGAATTCTTCAAGCCCTGAGCTTGGCCTGTGCAAACAGCTGCTTCTCCGGCCGACCATCTGCCGCAAAGCCTTGCGCCGAAAGGTGCTGAGGGTAGGGTCTATCTAGGGTTTAGGGTTTAGATGGTTTAGATGGTTTAGATGGTTTAGATGGTTTAGATGGTTTAGATGGTTTAGATGGTTTAGATGGTTTAGATGGTTTAGATGGTTTAGATGGTTTAGATGGTTTAGATGGTTTAGGGTGGAGTTAGGGTTTCGGGTTTCGAATTTCGGGTTTAGGGTGTCGATCGTGGTTTCTACCCAAGCGGTCATGACTCAGGATGCTTGATTCGGGATATTGCCATGTCTTGGACTATGCAAATATGTGCAACGGCAACTTGCTCCGGGTTCTCTGGCTCTCGACCATCAAGGCCAAGAAAACCATGAAAACGTACTTTACAGCTTTCAAAGGCAAGCGGTTCTTGGGTTCCGGGAGAAGGCTGGTGTAGTTTAGGATGTAGACTCGGGACTACGCATACCGAAGACAGGAACTGGGCTTTCATGACAAGCATCTACAAGAGGAGCAACAAGCCTCGAAGCCGACTTTACACAGCAATGGAAGGAGGGGGCGAACTCTAAATCGAAGAGATATGTACTAAGCCCTGAATCCCTGAAGTAGAGCAGGTCTCCTGACCTGCGCCTGAAGACTGTTTATCCCAAGTGCTTGAAGCCCATGCCTGTACTTCGGCAGATGTCAGGCCCCAGCGTAACGTCGCAGCTGGATCGAGGCGGTCGAGCTCATCAAAGTCTATCATGGCATGTAGAAGTGGGGGGTTTACGACAATAGGGGGACCCCTAAAATAGACCGCCCCAAATAGTAGGATTCCCTTATGATAAGGCACCCAACATAGTACCCCCCCCCCCTCCAATTTCGGAGACCTCGGCACCGCTGCTGTCTGGTAAGTGATGTCAGGTTGCAGTTAGGGGCGTTGTGTGGGTCAAAGGTCAGCCTGGTCAGAAGAACTCTCCCGTGGAAGTTGACCCTACACACCAACTCCCGCCAACAAGGACGGGACGTGCGATTCTTGGGCACGGCCTTGGAATTATGGAGCTTCTGTAAGCCCTAAACCCTCAACCCTACACCCTAAACCCTAATAAAGCTTCACGAGGGCCAAGCTGCGGCGGCAACCAGATCATGCAAAGCACCAAGGCCAGAAGCGCCGACTGAGCACTCTTGGAAACACGAAGCCCCAATCCACCCAGGAACCCACGCGAAACTGCAAACCCTGATCGCTACATATTTTCATGAATTGTCCATTGTTGTTTTGTCGTCGGGATTCCAAACTCCAATGACTCACATGGTTGGGGAAAGTTGCAAAGGTTGAGGTGCAGTATGCAAGTCAACATTGCAGGTTGCTCCACTTTTCGCAGAGCCGAAATGGGCTTGTTCACCACCCTGCCTTTGGCAGAGTGCCTTATCTTTGAGGCGAAGTCTCATGAGCCCTCGGATGACTGTGGGCCAGGATCCTCAGGTGCACGGCTTCGCCATCTTCTCGCGTGGGCACATCTTCAAGTGGTGACGGTGCTTTTCATGAGCTCAGTCCGCGAAAAGACCTTATGTCGACACCCTTTGCCCACCTTGCCTTACGCATCTGTGGGTGTAATAATAACAAGAAGAATAAGAATGATAACAACCATAATCACCACAACAGTAGTAGTAGTAGTAGTAGTAGTAGTAGTAGTAGTAGTAGTAGTAGTAGTAGTAGTAGTAGTAGTAGCAGCAGCAGCAGCAGCAGCAGCAGCAGCAGGAGTAGTAGTAGTAGTAGTAGTAGTAGTAGTAGTAGTAGTAGTAGTAGTAGTAGTAGTAGTAGTAGTAGTAGTAGTAGTAGTAGTAGTAGTAGTAGTAGTAGTAGTAGTAGTAGTAGTAGTAGTAGTAGTAGTAGTAGTAGTAGTAGTAGTAGTAGTAGTAGTAGTAGTAGTAAGAGTAATGATAATAATAATTACAATAAGAAATAATTTTCATAACAATAAGATAATAATAACAAATAATAATAATAATAATAAAAATAATAACAACAATAATAGTAATAATAACAATGATATAATTCTTAAGGGCAATTTTTCGGGTTTAGGCCTTTGCGGGTTCACGGCCCCCAGCAATCCCTGGCTCGAAGCGGTGAGCACGGGACCCTTGCAGGAGACCCTCGCGGGAACTGGGTTTAGGGTTTAGGGTTTTTTTTATGGTTTAGGGTTTAGGGTTTGGGCCCACAACTTTCGCCGCAAGCTGGCTCAGGGCTACACGAGTGGAGGATTGAAGGGCCATTCTGTCTCAGGATATCATGCAGGGCTTATATTTCTTGTATCCCAAAAGGACACCCAGTACGTATATGCACTCACCAATCTTAAAAAAGGAACCTTTTATACACTCATCAATAACAGTAGTATAAACCCTACTTCAATATCAAAGAAGGGGATCTAGGACCCACAGATCGTGGGGGAAGTGCTCAGAAGCAAGCCCTAGAAGCTTCAGCGCTGAAACCCCAAACCCTAAACCCTAATCCCTAATCCCTAGACCCTAGACCCTAAACCCTAAACCCTAAGCCCTAAACCCTAAACATCTTGGGAATCTCGTGGGCCCCCTGCAGTGGACCCGACTGGCACCTTGCTCGGTGACGTCCTGGGTCCTAAAGACGGCCCTGAGCACTTGGGGTGGGGGACTTCAGTTCTTTTAGGTTTTGGGGTTTAGGGTTTAGGGCGGCTGGCCAGCCCTTATGCCCCTCAGAATCTCAAAGTGGGACTATTCTGACTTCGACTTTGTCCCATCTGAAATCCGTGAGCATGCCGGACTGTGACAAACATGCCGGCGATGTTCTATCTCAGAAGCTCGAAAACCGCAGCTGCAACGACGGAGCCCTTTCTTTGGATACGGCGAGGCAGGCTTCACACAGCTGGGAGGTTTCTACCTTGGACCCGTTCCTGACTCAACCCTAAACCCTAAACCCTAAAACCTAAAAACCTAAACCCTGAACCCTGATCATGCAATTTTGAAAGCTGACTTCTCTGACTCCGGATTGAGGACACAATGCTGCCGGCCTAGGTGCCCAAGCGTGTGCGCCCCCCGCCGATACCGTATCTGACTCTTGACGGCACATGTTTGGTTGTGCAGCAGGCCGTCTTCAGCCAAGCACAACCAAAGTCCACAGCATTTCTCATGCTGACCTCCTCTGCACGCAACTGTGTCTCGAAGTTTATAGCATGCGATCTAAAACCCTCAAGCTCCAATGCCCCAAACCCTAAACCCTAAACCCTAAACCCTCAACCCTCAACCCTCAACCCTAAACCCTAAACCATCTACAGGCTCGGAATCCTTAACTTCGAGGACGCCCCCGAAGTTCGAACGGAACCCTTGAAATGGAGCTTCGCCTGACCTGGAATGAGTACTACTTCGCAGGGGAGCAGGGCAGGTTTCTGGGTGCTGTGCAATGCAATGCTCGGCTTTCTGCGGTAAACCTTGACAACCAGCATAACCGATACACGAAGGCTGCACAACCGTGAAGCGCTCAATTGATCCCCACATGGTTGGAAACTGTCGATGGGGTTTCTGCGAGGCACTGCCAGGCACTGCTGCAGACCGCCAACTAGGATCTCTCCCGTGCGCTCCCGAAGAGGTTCGAGTTTTTCGAGGAGGTTCTTGGGAACTTGCAGGTGGGGAGCAGGGTTTAGCGACAGCTCAGCTATTGTATTTCGGGGTTTAGGGTTTGCTTTTCGGTACCAAGACAGATGTCAGGGTTGGTAGGGTTCAGGCTTGCTTCAAGGCCCGAGGTCTGGGTCACCTACACCCTACACCCTACACCCTAAACCCTAAGCCCTAAGCCCCAAACCCCAAACCCTAAGCCCTAAACCCTAAACCCTAAACCCTAAACCCTAAGTGCTTGCAGGGGCCGTGCTGATCCCTACCATGGGTTTGGGCCGGAGCACCTAAGGAGCACCGGAGGTCTTCGTCAGGAACCAAAGTCAGCTTCGAAGGATCGAGGAGGTTCTCAGATCCCTTCGCTGTAAGTGCGGTCTCGACCTCAGCCTCCTCCTACACGCAAATGCTGAGCATGGAAGAACTCCTCGGACTCCGGCTACTTATAGGTGGCTCAACCCTAAACCCTAAACCCTAAACCCTAAACCCTAAACCCTAAACCCTAAACCCTAAACCCTACATGGTACTGTAGGGCTTCCTGCTTCTCCCGAGGGTGCAGCACGGGACTCTTAAGACCTCCCCCTGCAGATCTGAAGCCTTTGTGGTTTCACATCCGGTCTTCAATCCGGGGTTCTAACTGAGGTGAAACGCCAAGGCGTCTCCGCGCTCCGTGCGGAAGGGGATCGACAGAGGGGCTCATGCGCTACATGGGGGAGTGCACAGGAGAGCAAGATGACGGGAAGGTGCTGGTGGCTCAGTGTAGGGCTTGAGGGCTCGGGTAAGGCCAGTGCGGAGAGCTACCATGGCACAGAAGGCTTCCTCACTTTCGGCTGAATGGTTTGCCTGAGCTGGCTCCCAGAAGCAGCAGACACATGTTTAGCGACCCAAGACCACAACAATCAGAACGAGGGTGCGCCCCCCCCGATCCTTTCCACGGGAGTCGAGAAAAGGCACAATTTAGGGTGTAGGGTTTGGGGTTTAGTGCTTAGGGTTTCAGAAGGGAAGGCCAGAACGATCGGGACCCCAAGGGAAAAACAAGCGATACAACCAGGGAAGACAAGCACGGGCGACCGTCCCACAGTGCATGTCCCATTTGGGTCCACGACCTGCGATCCAGTTCCCAAGGGGCCGTATAAGGAAACTTCAAAAGGGAGAGAAAAAAAAGGGGGCGCTTCCTACCATCCGGTTCTGGAGGCTTTCAGGATCCTCAAGAGAGATCGGGGGCCCTAAACCCTAAGCCCTAAAGCCTAAAGCCTAAGCCCTAAACCCTGAAACGAAATGGGAGGCAGACTAAAGCCCTGTAACACCCTAAACTGAGAAACTAGGGGGGGGTGAAACAAGAACGGGAGTGAGGCACACGATTTTGAGAAGAAAGGAGGAGCCTACCGATCCGGCTACAAGAAGGAAGGCAGGAGCCGCGAGGTTTTTTCATATAGAGACAAAAAAGGTAGACGAGACTGAGGTTGCATGATCCGGTGCCTAAGGGTTTAGGGTTTAAGGTTCAGGGTTTAGGGTTGAGGGTTTAGGGTTTAGGGTACAAGAACATGGGGTGTATCGCATGATCCGGAAGCTGTGTATGCCGACTTCAGGGCAAGAGTTGGTCTCAAAGATGCCTCGAAGGTGCCTGAAGACACGAAAAGCCGCAAAGGGCCCTTCAAGGCAACTGCTACAATTTTATGATCAAGTACCCTAAACCCTACACCCTAAACCCTAAGCCCTAAACCCTAAACCCTAAACCCTTCAGGGCAGTGCCGAGGTGCACCAGCTCAGCATGAATCCTTCCGTGCCGGTCTGGATCTCCGCATTAAGGAGGGGAGGCAACCTCGGGAAAGAAAACTGTGCTGGGTTGCTGCTTTAGGGTTTAGGGTTTAGGGTTTAGGGTTGCTGGCGGTGCTGTGCTTTGCGCCTTGGGCCCGGTTTGCACAAGCCGCAGGTCAAGGACAGGATGCTTTTGTGGCAAGGTTTGCGCTTGTTGAGGCCTGCGATGCAGATCATGCCATCATTCCTTGCGGAATGTGGAGAGATTGGTTTTGAATGGCTTTGACTCCCGTTCTTGGGTGATTATTTGTGTGAGGTGCTAGCAGGGAGTTTTTGCAAACACGTGCGATTTGAATCGGAACGGGCTCATCGGGTCTGACCCACATGGGTACTGTAGCATGATGTAGTTTTTCTGAGCAGCAGCAAATGTGAAAGCATGATTCGCATCAGTAGGGTGAGGAGTGTTCAGAGTTCGGGTCAAGAGCTTGGGAAGTCCTGCAGGCACGCCGAGGCTGCTGCTCTTTATCGAGCTGTGAGAGGCATCTGCACCTCATTTTGTGCATCGACGCTGTTACGCATGCAACCCAACCAGAATCGAAACTCAACACTCACCTGCGGAACCATCTAACTCCCAAGATTTGGTAGTTGAATTCTGGCACTTCGGGCTGATGGTACCTTTGGAGCGGTGTAGAAAACACGTGATTCCAAGGCATCCAGTTCAGTGCGAGGCTCTGCAATATGACCCAGCTGGCCCTCATGATGCTGATAACGCAGCCTAAGCCTAGTCAACGACCAGCTGATGTTGGCTGTGTTGCCATCCAAACCCAGTTGAGGCTTCGCGCTCTTTCCAGTTCAACGTGCATGCGTATGCGGCGTCCGAATGTTAACACCATCCAGTCCAGTAGACATCGTTGCTGTGCAGCAGGGTCACTGCTCATGGCTGAGTCAGTGATTTAGACATGAAAACCAACGACGTCATCATGAGCAACTTGTCATGTAACCTACAGCTCCAATCGAATGCATCGTCTACACCCCAAACCCTAAATCTCAAACTCCGAGTCTAAGCCCTTTTGAGACGCAAAGCACGAAAACTCACCAAACATCCTCATTCGCAAGGACTCAAACTCAACGCTCAACCGAAGAGCACGCCTGTTGGTTAGTGGCTCCTCGCGATGGTTTCCAGAGTTTGATATATGGCAGAGCTCTCAAGTTCTTCCGGACAAAGGCCCGTGTAGGGTGAAACTCGAGGTATCCCCAAACCCCCAAACCCTCAACCCCAAACGCTAAACGGCCCTAAACCCTTGTTGCTTTTCTTGCGGCTTGGGTCTGATTCCACAGCTGAAGCCGCAAGCCGAGTCGAGGGGCCATCATCGTGTGCCCCGGGTTGGGTACAAATGTGGGATCCACCTCTCGCACTTGAGCGGAGGATTATCTGCAGCGTTTGTGGGTTTGAGGGTTTAGGGTTTAGGGGCGGCGGTGCAGCATTAGTCTTAGGATATGCAGAACTTTCAATTTAGCAGCTTAGGGCGAATTGACTACATTTGGCTTTGGTTGTCAGTGCAGAGAGGAGGTTCAGAGTTGGTATCGCAAAATGGGCATGTGCTTTTTGTGATGGGGCAATGAGAGCAGACCACTCGGACTTCTACTATGTGCGTGCGCGCACACACACACACAGCCGCTCGCACACCTCGCTGCCCAGCATTCGAATCTTCAAGACCGAAGTCAATAAACAGCTCGACCTGCTAACCCTAAATTCCTTGCCTTCATGGCTTTCGGCAGTCGATTTCGGCTGATTGCCTAGGCAGCCGTGCAGAAGTTCGGGGCACTTTCGGATGTGCAGATGGGACCCTAACTTACAGAAGCCGAGGGAGCGTGTCTTTGGGGTGGAAACGGCAAACTCACGGTCAAACAGCCGGCTATCGGACCGAAAAAACAACAAGGTCAAGCACGCAGCGAGACAACGAGACAGAGAGCCAAACAGTCAGGCCTTCTAAACGTTCAGCCAGCCAGCCAGCCAGCCCTAAGACTCTAAACCCAAATGGGTTTAGGGTTTAGGGTTTAGGGATTAGGGTTTAGGGTATAAGCCCCTAACCCCGAAACCCGTCTGAGCGTCACACTGTCGCACTGCTTGATTGTCGGATGCTCCTAACCCCCAAGGCCTGAACTCCTCACCCCGCCTCGCTGTCGGAATGTCCAGTAACTACTTAAGTCGTCCCAAGCAGGCTCCAATAATTCAATAGTCCTGAGCCTGGAATCCCCTCAAGCTTTCTGGGCACTTCGACAGGACTCGGCTTGCCGTTGAGGCTGGTGGCCTGGTTAGGATGCTTAGGTTGAGATTAGAGAATATGTAGGCGTTGAGCTTGGAAGCCTCTTAGGAGTAGGGATGGATTTGGACGTACGAGTAGGGTTTAGAGTTTGCCAAAATGTCATGCTTGCGGCTGTGTGGTAGGACTGGCGGGGGTACTTGACTCTCTCCAAAACACTCTGTCTCAGTCTCGCTAGCTGCTGGATTCCTACGCAAGGCATCCCCTACTGGTTGCAATCCACTGCAGACAAGGCGAATTAAACCCTGTGTAAACCCTATACGGCCCTTGCCTCGTGAGTGAGGCAGTTCAGATCGATGTGCAAGGCGGAAGTCCTCAGAAAGCTTGTGGTTCTGGCCCCAAGAACGCTCTCCAACGCCACACTGAGGCCCCAATCCTCAGGCCCAAAGCAGCTCCTAGAGGAGATTTAAGGAGAGCTTGGGCACTTGAGATTTCGGGGGTCTGAGGTGTTGAGAGATTGGGCTTACAGTCAGGTTCTTCTGAGTCATCTGGAATGTCAACTGCAAAGCCCTAAACCCTAAACCCTAAACCCTAAACCCTAAACCCTAAACCCTAAACCCTAAACCTAATGTTGGAGCCGTGAGGGTTCGTTGTGTTAAGCAAACAGGAAATCCAGGTCCAATGTGTCCACAAACCCCAGGCCCCCAACGTGGGACTCTACCTCCCGAGATCTACCCTAAACCCTAAACCCTAAACCCTGAACCCTAAACCCTAAACCCTAAACCCAAAACCCTAAACCCTACACTTTTAAACCCTAAAACCTGGCACTCCCTAGACCTGGAACCCAAGGCCGCCACTTGTCTCGCAAGTCTTCCTTCAGTTGATCCTGGCACTGAATAAAGCAAAGGGCCCTGGGACTCATGGTGGTTTAGGGTTTAGGATTGAGGGTTTAGGGTTCAGGGTTGCAACACCGTGACCACAACTACTAACGACGTCAGAACCACAGCGTCGAGACGAGGCACAGCACACCACTATAAAACTCACCAACACGAAAGCCGGGCCAAAAGATCAAGAAATGGTGCCAGGTGCCTTCTTCTCCTGAAGTTCCTGCAAGACGCTCTTCTCGTTGTGATGATGCTGACGCAGGTCCTGTACAAGAGAGCTGTCGGAGGCGATCCAGGATTGAGCTGGGCAGCACGTTTGGTCCATCATCTCTACAAAAGGTGTCAAGGTCATTCTATAAGCCTTCGGTCAGCTCCGTCCTCATGACAGCGTAGGAGGGTCATCTGGTGCTCTTGCAGCCTCCGTGAATCGCAAGGTTGCAAGTGACATTGACACCTCCACCCGGTGCTCAACACAGCGTTTCCCAGCAAGCTGAAGATCCTGTCTTAAGGTTCAAGCTATCAATGCGCCAGCCTCCCTACCGGCCCGACTGGGCCCTACATCTGGCGCATGAGCTGACGCGGCTTTCCGTCCATGCGTCTAGCTTGTAGCAGAATCATGGGTTCTTGCTTCATAATCAGTCACCACTGAACCGAAAAAGGGCTAGCAGACGCTGACAGACTCCCTGAATGGTACCTCAGGTTCCAGGCAGTAGCGATGTTGGGTGGCTTCGGAAAACCCACTGGTGCCGGCTCTGAAAGGAGGAAACTGATGCCACCAATCCATACATGTATATATATATATATGTATATATGTTTATTATTCTTATTATTGCTATTGTGATTCTTATTACTAAGCTTATTATTCCTAAGGCCACCAGAGCCACCGCCCATGTCTGAGGTCCCCGCGTAGTCGTCACAGGATCCAAGATGTGCTCCTCCAGGTGCTTGGCAGAGTGTTCCCCTTATACTAACAGTTCTCTACTAGAGATTGTAGTACCCCCGAATATAATCCCTATTCAGGAACTGCTAGTATCAGGGGGAGCATCGCACAATCGATGACTCATGTCAGGCTGAACAAAGTTTGGTTGCGCATGATCTGATTGCGGGGGTACGAGTTCTTTATATGCGAGAGCCTAGCTGCATGTCGCTGCAGCCCGCCGGAGCAAGCCGTTGTTAGGAGCCTGTTCAACTTTACCCTAAACCCTAAACCCGAAGCTTGGCATGTTCAGGGATGTCCATCTGCCTCTCGCATCACAACATAATCGCACTCCAACTGGACGGCAACAGGAACCTCTGTCAACAAGGACTTCTCGGCAAAAGTCAGAAGGAACCGCTTCACAAGTTTAGGGCTCACAGTTCCGCATGCAGCGTCGAGTTTACGGCCCTGCGACTAGACGTGAAGAATGTGTAGGCTCGTGGAGCTGGTTTAGGGTTTAGGGTTTAGGGTTTAATACTCCCCACGCTCATCTCTACTCCAGATGTCGCCGGCGCGAGTCCTTGGTCGCACGTTGCTTCCGCCTGGCACCGGACACAGGGCTTGTCAAGTCTGCACAGTTTGGGTCGGAGGCGCTAGAAGCAGTCCTTCGCATGCATGCTGTGTTGGGCTTCACCTTGACTGCTTCTTAGTGTACGGAACACGGTCGCGGGGGGGGGGGGGGGGGGGGGGGGGGGTGGTCAGCCATAGACGATGCCAACTAGACTCGAGAATAAGGGTTAAGGGTTTAGGGTTTAGGGCTACTGAACAGGAGCTATTCGTAGAGAAAGTCAATGAGCCAGGGGCATCTGCGACTGCGAAACCCTAAACCCTAAACCCTAATCCCTAGACCCTAAACCCTAAACCCTAAACCCTAAACCCTCAGGTTGGAATGTGCTTGGTTCTGGATTCTGAGCTTCGCACCCCAAAATCCTTCGACCCATGCCCATGACCCAGACCCAATGCCAAGAGTCCCAGTCACTCCAAACAGCCCAAGGACTTAAGAAACCCCATAAACCCTGTAAACCCTGTAAGCCCTATAAACCCTATATACCCTATCAACCCTATAAGCCCTTTAAACCCCATAAATCCTGTAAACCCTTTTAAACTCTGTAAACCCTACACCTTGAACCTCTCAGCCCCTTACACTCCAGAAGTTAAGTCGAAATCCGGCAGAAGCGCCAGGAAGCGCAAGTTGAGCACAGCTCCATCGGCTCTTCCAGTGAACGGATCTGATGCCTTTGGGGTTCGGGCTTTAGGGTTTAGGGTTTAGGGTTTAAGGTAAAGGTGTAGGAGGTGAGATGCTGTGCTTTGTTTCGGGCAAGGGCTTCATCATGCGAATCGTGATTGTGCTTGGAGTTGTCCTTCGGAAGGCATGTTGCAGGACCCGCGTCCTAGCATTGTCTGATAGACGGGTGCCACGCAGTTCAAGGGAAGAAACCTGGGCCCTTGCGAGCACGCAGGCAAGAACTGCAAACTCAAGCCTAAAGGATTCAAAGCTGACTGCTCAAGTCTACCTTTGAGCGGTGGGCGAGGAAGTTTAGCCAGTTTGGGAGCCTCCTTGCAAACATGGAACATGCCCAGGGTTGGGGTGCAAGCGTTGGAGGATTGTGCTTGGCCGCTTGGGGTTCGGGTCTCTAAGCAATCTACAGGAGACACCACACAGAAAACCCAGAACCTGGACTGGAGGTCCCAGGCCAGGTAGCAGATAGTTGTAGCTCATGTCACATCTCAAAACACTTCTACAATCACTAAACAAAGGGGAAAACTCTTTTCCCCTTTAGCCCCGAACCCCACAAGACCCCTGAGCTCGTGACTTGGTGTCCTGGATGGTGTTCTTCGTGAGATTGATCCTCACACGGGATTCTCCGAAATTCGGGGTACCCTACTTCGATGCCATACACAGATCTTAGGTACCCGAATCACTTGCGCCCAAAGGAGAAGGAACACAGGGGAACACCCTGACACTTGGTTTGGGCTGCCCGCCAGCAATCTGTGAAAATTGGGGGCTTTTTGGGGCCTGAGAGCTGTCTTTAAGCATCTCCTTTGCAGGCTAAGGGCTTGCCTACCGACTGGGCTCTTGCCAGCCGTCATCTCCTGGTAGGATTTAGGGCTTGCCAACCAACGACTTTTTCAGGCTACGCAACCACCAGCCGCCTTTTGGTTCCGGGATTGCCACCCAGCAAGTCCGTTTAGTGCTGTGGTGCTAGGGATTTTGACAGCTCGCAAGGCAACATCCCCCTTTTTTGTAGCAGATCTCCTTCACGGTTGCAAGACACGAACATCATGTGCATGTTGGCTGCTGTGATATTATGCCATCCTACACGGCTCAAACGAATGTCCACGAGTAGGGATCCGATTCCCACAGGTGCAGGTGACTTTACCAAGAGAAGATCACGCAAAAGTATCCAAAGGAACATGTCTCAAGACTCAGAACCAGAACCAGAGCTTCGCAATCCCATGGAGCAAACACATCTTCTGCAGGCCCAAGCAGCTGATTGCAAGTCTCCCGCAGCTCATTCTCAAGGCGCCTGTGCCCATCGTGCAAACAGCGTGGTCTTCAATTGTTTGATATCACGGATCGCAACTCATCTTCAGGATCAATAACACATCAGCTACGCTTGAGGAGTCCATCCAGGCTCGAAACAGCGTGTTTAGCCGAATCATCTCCATGCACGAAACCTCAGTCCTCAAGAGCAGATTCTTTCAGCTCCTACCCCCATAACAGTCCCTAGTAACGCCCTAGTACCCCCAACTACCCCCCTACCCCCCTACCCCCTACCATCGGTGCCAGCGCTTGGAATCTGGGCTTTCTTGACCTTCAAGCTCATCCTGAAGGTAGCGCCTTCTCATCTGCTGGTTCTCATTCACGCGGTCCTGGAGCAAACGGCCCGGCAACAAAGTGTGAGGACTCAGCTGGATTTTTTACATACATACATATCTATGCTTGTATATATATATATATATATGAAAAAAAGTATATATCTATATCTATACATGTATATATATATATATATATGATATATATATATATATAGGCCCGACGTCACAAGTCTAAAGCCCGGCCTTCATTGCCTTGTCCGACTTCGCATTTGCCTGCGGGGGGGGGGGGGGGGGGAAGCATGTAAGCTTAACCCTGTACCCTAAACCCTGTACCCTAAACCCTAAACCCTAAACCCTAAACCCTAAACCCTAAACCCTGAACCCTGAACCCTGAACCCTGAACCCTGAACCCTAAACCCTAAACCCTAAACCCTAAAGGCTGGCTGTGGAGAGGGCGTGGAAGAGAATCCGAAGCCCCCCCAGCCCATTTTGCCAGACCTAGGACCCCATTCAGCTAGTTCGCAACGTGCCTGTGAAGATTGTAAGATGAAAAAAAGTACCCTAAACCCTAAAACCTAAACCCTAGAACCTAAACCCTAAAACCAAAACCCTAAATCCTGTGCGAGATGGTCAGGGAAGCTGTGGCGGAAATGATGGCGCAGAATTTTGTGTCCCTTGCATTCGTGCAGGGGGGGGCCCGTGTAAGCCCAAAACCAGTGTCTGTGCACGTGCCGGCAATGTCGCGACACGGCCAGAGGTGGTGAAACATGCAATTGCTCTTTGGCATCTGCCGGAGCCCTAAATGCTGAGCACTGCAGAAAGGTTTGCCTAAGGCCGTCCTTCACCTCCAGATTGGGGTGTTCCCCCTTATGCTAACAGTCCTCTATTGTAGGCGTTTCTTAGTATAAGCAATCTCCAAAGCACTTGTTTCCACAATTTCGTCGTGGCAGCATCTTCTCAGCGTGCTTTTTTGTCGAATGGGCTGCTGTTAGCTTCGTTTGCAGACCGCCCAGTGTTCCTTCTATAAGTGGCTGAGTGAAACCTTACTGCAACTAAATGCTCTTGTAAAACATCTGCCTTAAACTTTACGGTTTATTGCTTAAATCACTAAGACGCTTTGGAACTAAAGTAAGTTAAAAACTAATTGTTTAAAATCATAAACTGGGCATGGGATCGAACCTTTTTCCACCTGTGGAGCGCAAGCAGAGCTCCCAAAGTAGCTGGTGTCGAACCTGTTCCGATGTGGAACTTATGACGTATGAACACCCGCATGCGAAATTTTCTGGGCCCAAACGTTTCCTGTGGTGGAACGTGCGAAAACATCGTAGATTGCCCGCGCGAAGACTTTGTTTTTCATTTTCGTGAACCGTGCGAAAACCAGGGTCCAACCGTTTTTGCTTTCGTGAAACTTGCACGTCTCGAAACAATGTATCAGGGCATGCCACATTGAATGATATTGGAATATTCCAGTTGCGCTTGAAGCGTCTGAAAGGTTCGGCTTTGAACATGTTTACATGCGTGGTAGAAACTGTAAGGTGTCCTCATATAAAGCGGCAAGCTGTACCCCTGCCTAGCCACAACAAACATTTAAGACACGTAGAAAGGCGTAAACGAGAAGCTTGGAAGGTGATACTGCATGTAGAGTGACAGGTTTAGACACTACATGCAAAGGATGTGATCTGGGATTCCGCTTAAGCGAGACAAAACTCCACTCAGCAAGATTTACAACGAGGCACAGCGCATATTGCAAAGGAAAGCAAACAGTTCTGGCAGGAATGCTACATCGTGTAGTCCGCATCTGGTACGGCTCGTGCGCAAGTGTCCTAACAGTTGCCTCTTATCAGTTCAAGGGTTCCGGATCTACACTTTGTGTGTTTATGATTGGGTTCTTGCACGTTTCTGCAATGCACCTGAAGCAATTTTTCTACCCCTTCTCAACGGCTCAGGCGATAATCTGGCCCCCAGCTGTCCAAGACTTCGCGCTGGCATTTGCCAAGCACCTCGACAACTCTCTGCGATAGCTTCCATTGGCTGTGGAAGACGAGGTCTCTATGGTTGAGGAAGTTCCTAGACCCAAGAGTAAGCTAGGAATAGAAGGGCACCCTTTTGTTGGCTTAAAGGGGCTTCTCAGGGAACCTAAACACTTCAAAAGGGGAATAAGGGCCTACACTGCTCTGATGTGTTCAGACAGTGGTTGGGTTTCGGGTTTCGGGTCTCGGCTTCTTGGGTCACAAATGCTCTGAGGTGACGATACAACTCTAAAGCTCGTTGCAAAGCAAAGCAGCGACGATTGAATGCTAACATTTCGGGCTATCGAGTCTCTGAAGGTGTGTCATGCATGGTTTGAAACCCTAAACCCCGAACACTGGACCCTAAACCCTAAACCCGAAACGCTAACCGCTAAACGCTAAACCCTAAACCCTAAAGCCTGAGTGACGAGCCTCTTGTAGGAGACCAGGTCTTTAAAGGGATGGAAGCAAACGCGTCCATTTCGACATTCTGGCCAGTCCTCGCTGAGAGCACCGAAGCATGTTCACTCTCAACGTTTTAAGCGAGTGTCTGCGAGAAACATTAATAGCTGGCTGTAACAGAGACATGTGGGAGTTCACGCAAATTAGGGACCTTTTATCATAGACCCCAATAGTAGGATTCCCTTATAGTAAGGGCCCCAAAAAGGTACACCTAATTTCGACACCCCCCCTGTGCTGAAACTTCGCAGATTCTGATAAGCTGGGCCGAGCACGGGAGAATCGCAATGAGCTTCGCTAATCAAATTCCTTGGCGAAAAGGTGCAGCTGAAATCAAAAGCACTCTGGGTTTAGGGTTTAGGCTTTAGGGTTTAGGGCCCCTTCGGTGGAATTTGCTCCTGTCTTCGGTCCCGTGGCCAAGATTCGAACCGCAACTGCGCAATCCTCACAAAACATACTTTTCTTCGGTGCCCTGACAGCTTGGGACGTGCACGCAATGCATGATGCACAGCAACGACCCTGACCGTGACTAAGCGCCGCTATGACATTGAAATTGACCTCTGAAACCCAGCGGGTAGAACGTCAGCTTACAGGAAGCGCTCTCCTAAACCCTAAAGCCTAAACCCTAAACCCTAAACCCTAAACCCTAAACCCTCTCTGAATTCACTACATCCCCTAGAAGCCCTTGAAGCAGAATTTGCTTTCTTTCGCCGAAAGGCCAGTCATTGATGCGCTTCACATCCAAGACCTGCCGCGTTCCAGCTTTTTAGGGTTTAGGGTTTAGGGTTTAGGGTTTTAGGGTTTTAGGGTTTAGGGTTTAGGGTTTAGGGTTTAGGGTTTAGGGTTTAGGGTTTAGGGTTTAGGGTTTAGGGTTTAGGGTTTAGGGTTTAGGGTTTAGGGTTTTAGGGTTTTAGGGTTTAGGGTTTAGGGTTTAGGGTTTAGGGTTTAGGGTTTAGGGTTTAGGGTTTAGGGTTTAGGGTTTAGGGTTTAGGGTTTAGGGTTGCTAAAGCACATGTGGCTGATGCAAGGTGTCGAAGTGGCATCGCAAACCGCCTGCGCCTCGAATGAAACAACTCAAGAAAGTATGTGGAGTTTACCAAAATAGGGGACCCCGAATAGAGACTCCCAAATAGTAAGATTCCTTATAGTAAGATCCCCCTTATAACAAGGACCCCATTAAGGTACCCCTCTTATTGTAAACACCCATGTTGCAGGCCGCCTTCATCAAGCACTGGTCGATGAACATGTCCTACCAGCGATCGGAGGAATGACGATGAATGATGAATGTTGGGATGTTCCCCCTTATGCAAACAGTCCTTAATGGAGATTATAACAGGGGCGACTAGAATCCCTATTTAGGACGGTTAGTATAAGGGGGAACATCCCAAGTTGAATGTTAATTACAAGTAGCATCGCCCCAGCTCTGCAGGAGTTTCGGGCCAACAAGAACACGAGCGTTGAAGGATTCCTTGCGGGTTCATCCGGGCCTGTAGCTGAAGAGCAAAGAGCACTCGTGCGTGCGTTGCTGTTCTCAAGTCCCTGGAACGAACCGGTCACAGCATGTACTACCCCTAAACCCTAAACCCTAAACCCTAAACCCTAAACCCTAAACCCTAAACCCTAAACCCTAAACCCTAAACCCTAAACCCTAAACCCTAAACCCGGTGTCCTCGCCCCAAAGACAAGGCCCAGAGCACAGCTTGTTGAAGTGCTTCACGCACTCGTGGCGGCCTGCCCCAAAGGACCCCAAACTTGGTTTAGGGTTTAGGGTTTAGGGCTTAGGGTTTAGGTGTTCCCACATACTAGCAGTCCTTAGTAGGGAGTATACTAGGGGTACTCTAATCCTTGCTAAGGACTGCATCCCAACCCTAAAGCCTAAACCCTCGGAGCAAGATCGTGTACGGTGCCTCCATGCACCCGCAATGAGGGCTTCCGAAGTTAGGGGTACCTTCTTGGGGTCCTTATGAGAAGGGAATCTTACTATTTTTTGGGGGGTCTACGAGAGGGGTTCCCTATTTTCGCAAACCCCCATGTGTGAAAACAAGGCTGGAAATCCAAAATTCCTCAAACCCAAACTTTCCCGGAGCTTTCTGCTATAATACCACACGTGGCTAGGGTGCTTATGAGATCTCAATGTTCTGACAAAGGTAGTTGCCAGGGTCCCAGACTGGCTCACATTGATAAAATGTTTATTCAGCTTCTTCAAAGCCCGCACAATTTGCACAATAACCTATGTTTTTTTCTGGAGAAGCCTCCTTGGCAAAGGACAAGGCATAACACCTGAAGGCTTGGCCTCATGCTTTGCGCTATCACAGGTATCAGCAGAGATCGGAGTTATATACATGATACGACTTCGTCATGCTCTAGTCCCGAACGCAGCCGTGCTTTGACCCTGTCCCACGAGCAGAGCCTGAATTGAATTATTGAACATGCCACCAGGAGGACATTGAAGTCTGAAACCTTAAAAGTCTTCAAGGGACTGGGCCGATAATACATGACCACCCGCACCCACTTGCCTTTTCGCCAGGCTTCCACTGCATTCTGTGAGAAGACTTCAATGGGTCCGTGCCTGGTTGCGGGCGGAGGGGCCAGTTCTTCAGGCGTGGTTCTGGGACTAGGGTTGGTGTAAGCAACGGACAGGCTATTGCAAGGTCTTCGCTAGGGTTCGAAGCATCCTGGTGCATCGCATGCAATGAGTGCAGCAGGGCCGAAGGCCGAAGGCAGAACTCGGGGCGTGAGCCTACACAAACCCCGAAACAGCTTTTCGGGCCTTCAGTTCCTTTTTCTGCCCTCCCCCCCCCCCCC